ACCATTTTGACTCCCAAACTGACCAAATGTTTTCTCTGCAAGGAGGGAGGGGGTGAGGGAACTTTCCCATTGTCTCAGGAAGTGGGAAATCACCATCTTAAAGGGTGACAGACTACCAGGAAAGGCAATCAGATAAGGCATTGTCAGATAACCTGGCGGACAGGGGAAAAAACAACATTCAAATTTCTGTTGTAGACTACCTTTTCTGTGATGTAGGTATGATGTTTGTGGGGGGTGGTCTTGGGTTACGCCCCTTCTGTGATGTATGTGTGATGTATGGAGGGGTGGTCTTGAGCTCCAGGGAAGGCAATTTAAAATGTCTATATAAGGGCAGGCACACCTTTGTTCTGGGTAGTACTCCTGCGGGTGAGGGGAGCACCCTGTTGCAACAGCTTTAATAAAGATCAGGCTTACTAGCTGCTTTGCTTCTCAATATTCTCCGGTTGGCCTCTGTTATTTTCTCCTACCAACAGGGAACCCACATTAGGACTCTATACGGGCTCTTGAATATCCCATAAGGAAAAAAAGGCAGATTTTGTTTACAACACATGTGATACAACCTGCTGTGGTCCATGTTATAAAGTGGTGCCCCGCAAGACGAATGCCTCACAAGACGAAAAACCCGCAAGACGAAAGGGTTTTCCGTTGCGGAGGCGCTTCGCAAGACGAAGTTCCCTATGGGCTTGCTTCGCAAGACGAAAACGTCTTGCGAGTCTCGCCATTTCCCCCCTGCTTCCCCCCCCCTTTTCAAAGCCGCTAAGCCATTAATAGCCTTTTAACAGCTTAGCCGCTAAGCCCGCTAAGCCGCTAATAGTGCTAAATCGCTAATAGCGCTAATCTGCTTAGCCGCTAATGGGGTTGCTTCGCAAGACGAAAAAACTGCTAGACGAAGAGAATCGCGGAATGGATTCTTTTCGTCTTGCGAGGCACCACTGTATTATAAACTGTAAATTATCACTGCAGTAGTTAGCACCTTCACAGTAATTCAAGTCAGGAACAATCTTTTGCAGTACTCTTACTTTTTCGTGACATCTTTTTCGTCTGTGTGTTTTCTAGAGATATCTCCAATTTGTGAGACTTCTGTCTCAAAATTTATATCATTTGTAGTAGGAGCACCACATTCAGTTCCCTTACTGCTACTTTCGACAAGATAAGAGCCTCGTCATATTCTTGTTGTTCAGTTGCTTTCTGTGTGCAAAGGTATTTCAGGAAAAGTCCCTCTTTGCTTTGTTTTCTGCCTTTTGTTTGTGGTACTGGGCTCCAGGTGTTAATTTTTTACCAGCCATAGCTCACTGGAAAAATGAACCCATTTTTTTAATGAATGGAAAAAAAGGTTTAAAAGTACTTTCCCAAAAAACCCAGAGTCCTTTTTGCTGGGGATAAGTCAGATGGAAATTCCCAGTTGTCAAAAAAGGTTATTTATGTATGCCACTACTGCAGCTAGTGTTTTGTTAGCCCAAAAATGGAAAATGAGCAAAGTCCCAACTAAAGAAGAATGGCAACTTAAACTGATGGAATATGTGCAGCTTGTGGACCTAACTTTCAGAATAAGAGAACAAGAAGAATATACATTTAGAGAAGACTGGAAAACGTTTATTGAATATATGGAGGAAAATTGTGTATATTTGAAAACGTGGGCAGCATTAAGATAAATTCAACAGTGTAAATAAGTTTCGAAGGATGTAATAATGGAATACTGAATGGTTTATATAAAATATGCAGGGATTTATGTTATGCAAAATGAACCATGGAAAGAGAAGAAGGGAAGTCACTGATGTTGTAAGGATGTTTAAATGATTATTTTAAATTGTAAAACAGGAAATTTAATAAAAATTGTAGAAAAAGAAAAATGAATCCATTTTCTAAATAAGATTTAGATGTACCGGTACCTGTAAGACTTAAAATTAAGTGGATTTTCACCTTTTATGTGTGTATAGCAAAACCTCCAATCAACTCTACGGTCTATTTCATATATACATAAAAAACCAATTCCAATTTATGAATGGCTTTAAAATGATAAGATTCTTCCAAATATGAAAGTAAAACGTTATCAGAAATTTATAAAATATAACAAAAACTAATCTGTAGCATACTGAATTCCTCTGAGTTGAGCACTCTAGCTGCCCTAATGATAGCACTGGCCCTGAAAAAATAGTAAATGCAAATAAATGAGCCACTGCAGATTTTTCAAAGCCTTTGTTGCAGACTGATCTTATGTACGTTTACTCAGAAAAAAATCCTCCGCATCCCTTTAAGTAAGGTACAGAGGATCGCCTCCATTGTATCGCTTCTGCAAACATCCTAACTCTGTTGCAACTTGCTCCGGGAATGACCTTAATCAGTTTGTTACAGTGCCATGTAATGGCAAACTACCGAAAACAAACAATAGTGGGCATCTAATTGGTTTATTATCTCCTATATTTGAGTATCTGCCAAGAGCATTCCAGACCGGGCCTCCTTTGCACAGCAATTTTGTCAATGATTACAGAAGCACTGCCACAATGCCTTTGCTGTTATTCGCTCTTGTTAACAGAGTTTATATTTATAGTATGGCACGGTAAGAAAGATTAAGACTGGTTAAAACGTCCACAAACATGAAAGCAATGTGACAATAAAAGTCAAGTAAGAGTAGATAAAAATGTAATTAAAAGGATGAATGCATATTAAACCACAGAGCAGCAAACAAACAAAATTTGGCCCAGTAGATCAAACAACTATTGAAATAAATAGAGTTTTATCTGCTGGCAGAAGGCTATCAATGAAGTGGCTAGTTCAGCTTCTCTCTTTAGGGAATTCAAAAATCTGGGCACTAAGAACGCCTCTATTTCCATGTCAAGCGTTGGCAGGGCAGAGAAAAGGGACTCTCTGGATGATCTCAATACAAGGCACATATTATGGGAGAAAGCAGTCTTTCAGGTAGTCTGGACTTTTATAGAGTTGGTGTATTCTCATCATAGGAACACAACTAAATTTCCAAAGCAATTTGTGGATGCAGGAGGCATCTGCAGCAAATATGAATGTGTGCATAAGAAACTCAGGTTAATCCCTGTTCAGCTACAAAGCTTAGCAGCTTGCTTCGTGGACAGGCTGCTATCCCTCCATCTACAGTGGTACCTTGGTTCTCAAACTTAATCCATTCCAGAAGTCCGTTCCAAAACCAGAGCGTTCCAAAACCAAGCCGCGCTTTCCCATAGAAAGTAATGCAAAATGGATTAATCCATTCTAGACTTTTAAAAACAATCCCTAAAACAGCAATTTAACTTCAATTTTACAATCTAACGAGACCAGTGATCCTTAAAAGGGAAGCAATAAACAATGTACTGCAGTCACACGATCAATCCATCAGCAGCTGAACTGGGTTCCACACAGTCACAAAAACAAAAGAAAAAGCCGCAAAAACAAAAAAGCAAAATAAATAGCAAAAACGGACAGACCTCAGCGTAACACTCAAAACGGAAGTGTGGCACTCAAAATGGAAGCGTAACGCTCAAAACAGAGCATATTTGGCTTCCAAAAAAAGTTCAAAAACTGGAACACTTACTTCCAGGTTTGCAGTGTTTGGGTTCCAAGTTGTTTGAGTACCAAGGCATTTAAGAACCAAGGTACCACTGTAAAATTATTTTTGTGAGGCTAACAATGTTTCTTCAAGGGGTAAATAAATGTGACAAAAACAACAGAAAGCAGCTGAACCTTAAAAATAAAAATAAAAAATGCATTAACCACCTGGCAAAAAGCAGAACACTATAAAGTTGCGCTACATTCCTCTGTAATTGCTCTGATATAGTGCAAGATTCTGTGATATTCCAAAAGATGGCAATTATTTTGTTCACAGAGAGTAGAAAGGAACTGCAACATCCTAGAGATCACAACAGAAAAAGGATGGTTTAATAAGGGAAAGTGAGGTAGAACAAGCAGAGAGATCAGAGGCCCAGAAGGGTATTACAAAAATGAGTGATTATTTAATTTTAAGTAATGGCCTTTAGGGTTGCTTTTAAATCTGAGAAGTGTAATACGAAACTCTGAAGGGGGTGGTGTTGACCGCACTGTGGCATGAGATATTAAGGAGGGCTTAGCTTGTTCTTTATCAAGTCAGCCATTCCGGAAAACATGGAATATATTCTGTATTTAGTATTTTTGTGAGGGACAAGAGCACACCTTGTTTTTTCTGTAGAGATCCCTCCCGGACGCCAGTGAAAAATTTCTGCAGAATGGCAGTTGAAATGAGTCTCTCAGGTAGCCTATCTTGCGCACGGGTACTCAGAAATCAGCACCACTTCATTCAGTAATGCTTACTTTTGAACAGGGATGGCAAACATGGAGTTCAGCCACATCTGGAGCACTGCAACTCATTATTATTATTATTATTATTATTATTATTATTATTATTAGTTATGTACTGAGTTGAATAGGATCCAAATGCAGCAGTCTGATTGGTCCGCAGGAGCCACCCAATCCAGCTCCAGGTGGAAGTGAATCCGCAACCTGATTGGGACTACAGGAGAATCCAGGAATTAGCCAATCACGTGCAGCCCATTGTGTAAAGAATGTATATAAAGCAGATATTTTGGGGGAACTTTCATTCCTCACTACTATGAGCTAATTAAAGAGCATGAAATCCACACTCGACTCCGAGTATATTTCATTGTTATTAGAATTAGAATTTATATACCGCCCTATACCAAGAGGTCTCAGGGCGGTTCACAAAAAAGATCTCAATATATAAAATCAAGATAAAAAAAAATAACCCAATAACACCCTCCAAAAAAGAGCCACGTTTTAAAAGGGTATAGGATATCAGTCAGGTCAACCAAAGGCCTGGTTAAAAAGGAACCTTTTCGCAAGCTTCCCTGGGGAGAGCATTCCACAGATGTGGAGCTTCCTACTGCCAATCAGAAGATGCGCCTTGGTTTTTGAATGTTTTGGAAGTTGAACGGACTTACAGAACGGATTCCATTTTACTTCCAAGGTACCACTGTAATAGGTAACTGCTTGTTACTCACCTGTCTTCAGTTTGAATCTCTGGACTCTACTCTTCATCTGACAGATATTGCCTCCTTTTATCACTTGAGAGCCATCAAAGGAAAGCAGGGCAGGGTCCAACAACTCACAACGCCCTGTTGGTGTGATGTGCAAGTCATTTTGTGCAGCGTACAGTGGAGGAGCTGAAGTTGATAATTAGTAATAGCATATTGCCTTTATATCCCATAGTTCCTCAAAGTAGCATGCATGGTCCCTGTGTTGGCCTGGGACTCGGGCTCGGACTCGGACCCAGAGGAGACTCAGTCTGCACCAGATCCTTTGCCTCTGAACCAAGTCTGGGGCCTGATCCTGAAGAGTCCCAGTCTGCAAAGGTTCCCCTGCAACAAACACCAGCTGGGCCGAGTCAGGGGCCTGAGCCTGCCCTGGGTCCAGATGTGGGGATTGCCCCATTGCTTTCAGATGGGCCATCACTTACAGCTGTTTGGTCAGGGGAGGCTGAGGCGGCCCCTGGGTCTAGTAACCCCCCAACGTCTCCTGAGCTGCAGAGACTAAGGTCTGAGAGAAGGAGAGACCTGAGTCCTCGCAGGAGGAGTCCTCGCAGGAGGAGTGCTTCGGGCAAAACAGGGAGGTGAGTCACTGGGGGATCAGGACCGGCCGCTACCCCGACAAAGATAGAAGGCTGTAGGACCCCCACCCTGGGTTGCGGGAGCAACATTGCTGTATGCTAGATCCTGCCTGAGATCCTGTACCTGTCCTTGCCTGGTTTCCTGCCTCGTGTCCTGCATTGGCCCTGTCGACTGTCTCCCAGCGGAACCTTTGGATCCTGGACTGGACCTGGACAGCATTTCACGGGTTACCCCCAGGCCCAGCACAGTCCCCATCTCCCCACTTTATCCACACAAAAACTGTGTGAGGTTGGTTAAGCTCAGAGAGACTGACTGGCCCCCATGACACACAGTGAGCTTTATGGCTGAGTGGTGGCTTGAACCCTGATCTCACAGGTCCTAGCCCAACACAGTAACCACTACACCACACTGCCTGTCTGACATAGGAGCCAACTCCCAGGGACTGAGGTGCCTTCGGTCCCCACCCCCCAAAAATTGAGAGGGTTGGGCCTCCCAAAGTTGATCAGTATTGCCATTCAAATGGTGTGCGTGCGCCACATCTTGCGATTGATTAAGTGGAGCAGAGCTTACCTGTCCCGTCCCCGCCGCCACCCTCAAATGTTTTATTCCGGTTGGCACCCCTGCAGTTTCTGAGATGAATAGTAATATCTGCTAGGCTATTAACCAGCAGGTGCTAGCAATCAACCAAATGAACTTGGAAATGTGAGGCTGGATAAGACAAAGGAAGAGTTGCAGAATAAGAGTAGGCGCTTTGAGGCATATAAGAGTCAGCCGATTGGGTAAATTAGGCTATTGGCTGAGCCTCAGTCCCTCTGGTTGACCCTGCACTAGCTCATAGGTGCCTGTGGATGTGTTTTGGGTGGGGTCCTCCTAGTTTGGGCTGAAGACCATAGACAGGTGTTGAATTTGGCAGCACAACATGTCCTGCTCTACAGGATTACACATTTCTCTCTCAAGAGTTGATATTTTCATTGAACTAATCAATATGATCCAACATCTGTTTCTTGGTTAATCCCCCACCTTAGGCTTCATTAGCATACTGTGAATGATTTTTGTGTGTGAACATGTGGTGTATTACACATCCTTTTGGAACTCTTTAAAGTGTGCAAGGGGTTTCAACAAGCTGAAAGCAAAGATTACCAGTGTCAAAGCAATGATTCTTCAACATCAACTTCGTTGGACTGGTCATGTTGTGCAGATGCCTGATTATCGCCTTCCAAAGCAACTACTCTATTCCAAACTTAAAAATGGAAAGTGTAATGTTGGTGGTCAACAAAAGAGGTTTAAAGCCTGTCTCAAAGCAAATTTTTAAAAATGTAGTATAAACACCAACAATTGGGAAACACTGGCCTGCGAGCACTCCAATCGGAGAGCAGCCTTTACCAAAGGTGTCATGGGCTTTGAAGACACTCAAACTCAGGATGAAAGGGAGAAACATGCTAAGAGGAAGGCATGCTTGGGTGATCAACTTCTGCTCAGAAACCAATGTCCCCGCTATGGAAGGACATGTGGATCCAGAATTGGCCTGCACAGTCACTTACAGACTCATTGTTAAAACCATGTTTATGGAAGACAATCTTACTCGGCTACGAGTGATCGCAGAAGAAGAATAAGAATTGGTTGTTCTGTTAGAAATTTCTGAGAGATCCTGTTATTTACTTGCCTGCGTTGCAAGATCTGCCTACTTACTATTACCTTCAGCTTCCTGTTCTTTAACCAGTTACTTATCTAAGCGATGATGACTTCTCCAATCCAAAGAATGTCATGAAGCAGGACTTTTCCTCGTCGGATCATCCCAAGTCTTCCTTAGACTTGCTCTTCTTTATGCTTATAATTCTGTTCTCTATTTAATCATGCCTTCTACCAACTTACTCAGAGCAGATGCTAGTAGTCCTGATCCCTTTTAGGGACGAGGGAGAATCAGTGTTATGCTGGTTACTTTTCAGTCTTACAGTAAAAATGCCAGTTTTAGTGACAAGTTGTATTTACTTATTTTTGACAGGTCAATAGTTTAATATTTGATTTATTTATGAACATTTGGGATTATGCCATTGGGAACTTGATTTCCTCTCTCTTCAGTTTAGAGGATTATATATTGACGTCTCTGGTTTAGGATCTAAATATCCTCTTTCCCATTCATTCATTGAAAAAGAAAATGGGAATGGGATAACTTAAAAAAATACAGATATTTTATACCTCGAGGGTCATGGTAATAGATTTGGGTGGCATGCATATTTATGGTATGAAATGACAAAAGTGCATAAAGGACTCTTGAACCATCTGGTAAGAAAAGCAATTTATGGTGTATGGGGAAAATATAAAAACTTGTTAGAACAGAAAACACTATGGTGGCTTTCCCCAATAGAAGCAATATCCTTTAAAAAGGTTAATGTGAAAGGTGAGTGGGCAACATATAAAGAGTTGCTCACTAAAGGAGAACAACAATTGAAATTAAAAAGCATTGAAGATATAAGACACAGATTGGATGCAATATCATCAAGTAAAAGTGTTTAAAGCAGATGATAAAAAAGGGATTTAGTATAGAAATTTCAGAGTTTGAAAAGGAATTACTGGAAAATAATGTGAAGTTATTATCTAGAATGTATAAATTGTTGCTAGAATGGCATACGAAAGATGAAGAAGTCAAATCAGTAATGATAAAATGGGACAAGATATTGGGCATAATATTCAATCTATGTCTTGGGGAAAAGTATGGAAGGAAGACAAAATTTACAGTGTGCTGTGCGTTGAAGGAAAACTATATGAAAATGATGTATAGATGGTACTTAACACCAGTAAAATAAGCAAAGCTGTATAGAACTGCTTCTATTGTTTGCTGGAAATGTAAAGAGAAAGAAGGCACATTCTACCATATGTGGTGGACTTGCAAGATAACTAAAGCATTCTAGGAAATGATTTATAATGAATTGAAGAAAATGTTCAAAATAACATTTGTGGGGGGGAAAGATGCTTTTTCATTAGGCATTTTAGGTTCAAAGATTCCGTGATAGAAGAAAAGACTTTGCGTCTTTTCTGACGACAGCAGCCTGGATACTACTGGCCCAAAAAAGAAAAGAAGACAAAGTTTCAACCAGAGATGATGAAGATGATGATGGATTATGCCGAAATTGACTGGGGAAATCAAAGACCAGGAAGAGAAGAATTTCAAGAAGGAATGGGAGAAATCTATAATATATTTAAGAGAAGACGGTAAACAACTAAAAACCTTGATTAGAGTAATGCTTGTAAAGTACAAAATACAATGGGGAAAAATAGATAATCATATTTCTAACAATTAGAAAAAATAAGATAAGCTGAAAGAAAAAGGGACTGATAATTGAAAACAGGGAAGGGAGGTGGGAAGTCAAGGGATTCTGAGAATCCTAAACTGTGAAGGTGAATGATACGTTTGAATTTAAATTTGTTTTGTAATAACTCTACAGATCCAAGCAGGGTGTCTAAGGGTGGGTTGGTGTTTCTTACATGCGGGGCATGAGAGCAAAACAACAACAACAACAACAACAATTATTTATTATTTATACCCTGCCCATCTGGCTGTGTTTCCCCAACCACTCTGGGCGGCTAAGAAAGGAGGGAAGCAGGGAGCAAGAGTCTGGTTAGATGGAAGGCCCCAAGAGAGACCAGCTAGTGAATCCTAGTCGCTGTGGGATATGGAGGTTGTGGGGAGGAAGGGCCTGCAGAAATGCTGCCCTATGTGGCAAACTATCCCATAAGATCCACTGTCCTGTAATATCACGTATGAGCTTTAACTACTGATGAAGCCCAGGATGGAGAAACAAGGCCAATATTCCGGAAATCCTTGTCTTCGACTCTGTGAAAGGATTCTGTGGAACTGTAACAACCTTTAATGTGGATTGCTTGGACCTTATGAACAGACAGGTGGAATAGACACCATTACGCGGATGGACCTTATGCATGAACTGATTAGAGAATGATCTGATCCACTGGGTCTTCTGCTTTGTTCGTTTGTTGAACTTTATGAGTTACTTCCGTTGAAATTTATGATTTGATATATGAATCGTATGCCTTATTTATCTAAGAACACAGCCGGTTACGTCTCGTGTGTTTATTGAGTATGCTTTACGTGACCATAGGTTTGTTTGTTATTGTTTTGCTAGTCCTAAACCAAGCTCTGCATAGAAAAATGGAACTCAGGAAGGGTTGGGTGTGTGTGGAAAGACCCCAACCAAGCACAGCTGGGGAACCCCAGTTTTGCAGGGAACAAAGATTGTGAAGGGTCCATGGAAGCGAAGGCCAGCCAGTACTGGGAACAGGATGGGACACATCTTAGCAGTGAGAAGAGTGGATCCTCCATGTGTTGAGGAACCACACGGATGCAGAGAAACATCCCCCTGTCTGCAAGTTCAGCATGTAGCCAACTTTTCCTGAGTGACAGCCATGATCTAAACCAGTTTCAAAGAGGCTCAGTCGAGGTGAGCCTTAAGGGAGAACATGGGAGCAGTGGGAGAAGTCTAGGCAAGGGGGTTTGTCTGGGGGCTTTGAAGGAAGAAAATGAGTGGAGAAGGGAGTTTGGGATGAGTGGAGAAGGGAGTTTGGGATGAGTGGAGAAGGGAGTTTGGGATGATCCTACACCAGGCATAGGCAAACTTGGCCCTCCATCATCCCTAGCTAACAGGACCAGTGGTCAGGGATGATGGGAGTTGTAGTCCCAAAACATCTGGAGGGCCGAGTTTGCCTATGCCTGGCCTACCCCAACATCTAACGTCTCTTGAGTCACAAGAAAGGAGATTCCAACTAAACACCAGGAAGAAATTTCTGGCAGTAAGAGCTGTCTGACAGTGGAGTGGACTCCACTGGAAGATGGTGGACTCTCCTTCCTTGGAGGTTTCTAAGGAGATGTTGTATGATCATTTCTCAGGGATGCTTTAGCTGAGATTCCCACATTGCAGGGGGTTGGATTAAATAACCCTTGGGATCCCTTCCAACTCTACAATTTGATGATTCGATGTCACTGAGGGAAACAGGTATGTCACTGTGCCTGTAAGTACCTTAGATTTCTAGAAGATTTGTGTCCACAGGCCACAGTCATAGTGCAGATTAAGGGATATGCTTGTTAACCATCATTTCAATGCTGCTAGGATGGCTAAAAATGGTAAAAGAACCAGCTACTACATTCCCCCCCCACACACACACAATGAGTTTTTAAAGACAGAGCTGTTATTTTAATCTGAATTACTATGATTGCCCTTAGAGTCAATAAAGACAGGGATTAACATAGCAAGTATAACCATACACTGAAAGAAAGAAAAAGCTTTATGATTCTTTCACTACCCTGATTCTTTGAACAAGAGGTGCATACTAGAAACTAATCAAGAGGCATTCATAGGTAAAGTTGTGTATTCATATGGTAATTGCTGTTAAGACTTGATCATTAGAATTTACAAAGCATAACTTCACAGGATGAGTCCTGAAAGTTGTCTTTGATCACCTTAGGCAATTATTCAAGGAAGGAAGCTAATCCTGGTGCTGACTAGCTTTCCATAGGTTTTATGGAGAGCTGCCTGCTATGATTTCCACCTGCCCTAACATTGTGAAAAGAGCTTGACTATTTACCTAACTGTGGCAGTTTTGGTCAACTCATTATTATATCACTATGGCAAACTCCTTCTCCCACTCTGCCTCCTTCACAACTTCCCATGCGGGTTCTTCCAATCATGCCAGCCGATTCCTTCCCAACACAAATGTTCCAGAGATACCTTTATGTGCTACATCATGCCAGATTTCATGAGGTGCTGTTATGGGTGTGTACCTGGACTCACCTGTGTGTAGCCAGCTGAGAGATTTAGGATCTTTTGTTGGAGTTATGACGTGCGCTTGCTAGGGATGTGCGTAGGGTTGCCATACGTCCGGAATTTTCTGGACCTATCTGGAATCCTGCAGCCTCAAGCAGTGTCCGGGCGGAATTCGGTGGAATGTCCGGGAGTGCCGTTTTTGCCAATTTCCCTCAGAAATAGCTGAAAAACCAACCAATTTCTTTGTGATTCTGCAAAAAAAAAAAAAAAGTTAAATAACTTTGGCCAAAAAAATGCTCAACTCTTCTGTCCAGATTTTCCCTTTTTGAAATATGACAACCCTAGATGTGTGTTAGGGACATGGGTGGCACTGTGGGTTAAACGACAGAGCCTAGGATTTGCCGATCAGAAGGTCGGCAGTTCGAATCCCCGCGACGGGGTGAGCTCCAGTTGCTCGGTCCCTGCTCCTGCCAACCTAGCAGTTCGAAAGCACGTCAAAGTGCAAGTAGATAAATAGGTACCGCTCCGGTGGGAAGGTAAACGGCATTTCCATGCGCTGCTCTGGTTTGCCAGAAGTGGCTTAGTCGTGCTGGCCACATGAGCTGTATGCCGGCTCCCTCGGCCAGTAAAGCGAGATGAGCGCCGCAACCCCAGAGTCATCCACAACTGGACCTAACAGTCAGGGGTACCTTAACCTTTACATTTACCTTAGATGTGTATTAACTTCTAACTCAGTCCCCGAGTTAACCCTAACCCTGACCCTAACTCAGTTAAAAGCATTAGCTCAGTTGGTTGGAGCTTGGTGCTGAGAACACCAAGGTTGCAGGTTCGATTCCCTTATGGGGCAGCTGCAAATTCCTGCATCACAAGCGGTTACCTAGATGATCCCCAGGGTTCCTTCCAACTCTTAAATTCTATGGTTTTAACTCGCTTAACTCTTTAACCCACAAGAATTTCTCACACAAAGAAATAAAGAAAGCTTGGTTTATTATATAAAACAGGAGTGTCAGAATATATATCATCATCATCATTTTAATTTTTTTGTATGCCGCCTTTCCATAGTTAAAACAATGCTGAAGGCGGCTTACAACATGACAAGATTTACATCATTACCAACATAACAAAAACCATCAACAATAAATAAAACGCATCAAAAAGTACACAACCAAATGGAAAACAATTTCCACATAAAATGTTGCTTTAGACAACAATGTCACAGACTAATCAGGTAGCCAATACACACCTTAATTAAAGAGTAAAACATTCCCTAACTATTCTAAGAGGCCTACATGGACATGACAATTTTGCCATAAACCCACACTAGAAGCAGAGAGAGGGAAGGAAAATATACCTGTCCTTAAAGCAAAGCTGGATAAGTTCTCTCCTGTTGGAAATATTTGAGCTAACTAACCTTTGAATCTAATAGTTTGTTTTTTAAAAAAAAATACTTTTCTTCCAAGGCATGTCAGTGGAGAGGGGGCTGTAAATGAGTGATTCTTCAGTCTCCATAGTTCCTTCTGGAATTTCCTGCCAATGCCAGATTAAACCCTGTGGAGGCCCCCAGGCAGTCGAAATCTTGGAGTGGGAGGGGGGCGCATTGCAAATTATCTCCTAATACATTTTTGTAATTTTCTTTCAAGATCAAATAAATATTATTTTGACTTGTTCTCGTGGGGAGCCATGGGCCAGTGACTGTTCGGTAATCCGGCACTGTTTCCTGACGAATCCTTTCCTCGCCCACCTTAGTGAAAAAAGGGTAAAGATGGCCATCTTGTTTGCTTAACGAAAGGGTGACTTTTTATTTTTTTAAAAAAATAACTTTTTATTAAAGATTTTCTTGGTTTACAAAAGTACATGCCTTGTCTCTTTTTTCAAGTTGCACAGTCTTTTCTACAGATCAGTTACATTTGTTATGAGATATTAGTGTTGTGTACAGTATAAGGTTGGGGAAGAAGAGGGGGTGGTGAAATATATATATATATATATATATATATATATATGCTTTCGTAGATTTTCACGGGTACAGGAATGCAGGTTTTGGTGTCCTCGGGTGTCTTCCCGTGTAAAAGTTGGGGTGTCTAGGCGACGTTTCGACGAGGTCTCACTCGTCATCTTCAGGCTGGTGCTTTCGGCTTCTTGTTACTGGAACAGAGCAGGATCTCAGTGTTTGAGTTCCTATAAATACTGTTGAGGAGGTGTGGTGTATAGCTTCCAATGTTCTGGGCAGAGAGGAAGTTCCCAGGTTAGTGTGTCTTTTCTTCTTTTGTTCCTTAATTACTTGAGGGATAATATATACTTGAGGGATATATATATATGTTTTAAAATAAATACATTTATGTCAGGAAAGCAAACAAACCAGCAAACAAACAAACATACAAACAAACAAACAAACTATAAATTGACAAACAGACAGTAGCAATATATGAAACAACACAATTCTTATAACTAACATCCTTTGTACTCCCAATGATGTGAACGATTGTAAAGCTTGTAAAACAAGAAATTAAAAATGACTTCCAATTAGTCTCGCTGTACTTTATCTGTTGATTATCTTATACCGCACAGTTACATATTTCTTATATAGTTTCTGTTAACTTCCCTACAAACTTATATTTATACAATGCAAGGTTCAGTCTAATTCTGCCAAGAAGTTTCCTTTTATACTGTAATTTTTTAAGTATTCTTTAAAAATTCCCCAATCTTATAGACTATTTGTTTTGTTTGGCCTCTTATCCTTCTTGTCATCTTTGCTAGCTGCAGGTATTCTGTCATTAGGATCTGCCAATCCGCCGTGTTAGGTAATTGCTGTATTTTTCCAATTTCTTGCTACTAAGATTACATTATTTTACAGTGTACGTGTGGGGTTTTGTGTCAGCGTCAACTAGATTGGTTCTCTTTCTATTCGCTTGTTATATTTCCTCGGAAGCAAGAGAGGTTGGAGGCACAGGGTGTGGTTGGTTGTCCATGGTTGACTGCAATGGGGTTTCCCATACAATTTGGTACCGCTGGCCCATGTTCACTCCTGACAGGTCTCTCCAGTGTCTGGCTATGAGGCTTCTGGCTGCTGAGAGTAGGTGGGTTATAAGCCCTGTATATTGTGAGTGGTCATTATGATCTTGGAAGATGTTCAAGAAGGCCAGTTCTGGGGTGACTTCTAATACCTGTTTAGTTATTTTGCATATCTCTTGTAGGACTGCTATCCAGTGTAATAAGAATTTTAAGGTTTCAGATATATAGTGGTACCTCGGGTTACATACGCTTCAGGTTACATACGCTTCAGGTTACAGACTCCGCTAACCTAGAAATAGTACCCCTGGTTAAGAACTTTGCTTCAGGATGAGAACAGAAATCATGCAGCGGCGGCGCAGCGGCAGCAGGAGGCCCCATTAGCTAAAGTGGTGCTTCAGGTTAAGAACAGTTTTAGGTCAAGAACGGACCTCCAGAACGAATTAAGTATAATAAATGTTCATAAATGTACCAAGCAAACACGTACATAAATATATAAACCACATGTCTGAAGCAGCACAGGAAGACAGTCCTGAAACCATTTTGACTCCCAAGCTGACCAAATGTTTCTCTGCAAGGAAGGAGGAGGTGAAAAAACCTTCCTTGTTACAGGAATTTAGTAATTACCATCTCAAAGGTGGGGGTGACAGACTACTAGGAAAGGCAATCAGATAAGGCATTATCAGATAACCTGGCAGGCAGGAAAAACAACATTCAAATTTCTGTTGTAGACTACCTTTTCTGTGATATAGGTATGATGTTTGTGGCGGGTGGTCTTGGGTTACACCTCTTCTGTGATGTATGTATGATGTATGGAGGGGTGGTCTTGAGCTCCAGGGCAGGGAATTTAAAATGTCTATATAAGGGCAGGCACACCTGGGTTCTGGGTCCTCCTCCTTTCCTGCGTGTGAGGGGAGCACCCTGTTGCAACAGATAAATAAATATCAGGTTTGTTAGCTGCTTTGCTTCTCAATATTCTCAGGTTGGCCTCTGTTATTTTCTCCTACCAATAGGGAACCCACATAAGGACTCTATACGGGCTCTTGGATACCCCATAAGGGGAAAAGGGCAGATTTTGTTTACAACACCAGAAGGGTTGGAATTTGGGACATTCCCACCACATGTGGAGGTATGTGCCTGTGGAGGTGCAACCTCTCCAACATTTTGGTGATCTTCCTGGGCATATCAGCACCAGTTTCCGTGGTGTAAAGTACCACCTGTAGGTGAGTTTCAGAGTGAGTTCCCTTCTTTTGGCAAAGATGGATTTAAAGAGAGGTTTAGACCACATTCTACTCACTTGGGTGGGGTTAATTTCATAGCTTATGTCCTGCTCCCATTGTTCTTTGATTGCATCAAAGGGGTTTGTGGGATTTTGGACCAATTAAATGCCCAATAATAATAATAACAATAATTTATCATTTATACCCCACGCATCTGGCTGGGTTTCCTCAGCCACTCTGGGTGGCTTCCAACAAAAGATTAAAATACATTAAAACAATCCAGCAGTAAAATCAACCGCCACTAGGCCCTTGACCACATTTGAAAACCTTCCCCTGACAGCAGAAGGACATGGCAAAGGGATGGTATCCACAAAGTACAAAGGGGTGAGAGACTTTTGATAGTAAGTCTTATCTGCACTTGGCCATCTCAGGTCTGTGATCTGCCTTCAAATCACCATATCATTGTGGGGATGGATCTCACTGAGGAGTTGAATATCCTTGAGGACTACTTTTGCATGTGTTAACCTTTAAGTAAGATGTGTGTGAATTCAGGATATTCCTGAATGCTTTTCAGCAGGAGGCTAGAATCAGGCTGGTTTCATGGTTACTGGAGTTCATCACAGAGGGCCTTGTGTAACATTATGTCAATCCCATACTTATGCCATAACCTATAGAGATAAACCATGTCATAATTAAATTATTATTATTATCATTACTATTAGTTCAGATCCACACACAATGCAACAGCCTGACCAAGAAAGTTATCATTCAGAAGGAGTTTACTGATGGCGTCAAGTCATTATTATGTCATCATTACAGAAGCATATTTTACAAAATAATAATGAATTGATTATCAAAATATTGTAAACACAATCAAAATGAAATATTACAATCCAATATTCACTAATTTACAATTTATTTCTAAATCATCCTATTTAAAAGTCTGTCTTTAATGCAGTATAGTACAAAGATACTGTATAATATTTTCTAAACATTTATAAATTTCTATAAATTAACAAAACTAATTATGACAGCAATAATTCCAAGCCTGTTCTTGGGCTATATGCTTAATAGTATGCTTAATAATTAATTCTCAAAATGCTCCTTTTTTTACCTTTTCTTAAGCGTACTGCTCCTGTTAATTTTGTAATTGTGGCAAGATACCAAATTTTCTTAAGCCATCCTCATTCGGTTTGAATCAGCAGAGCATGCCATTTAGCTGCTGTTAATATTTTGGCAGTCGTCTGCAAAACCCTGACTAGATTTCCGTGTTCTGGTCTTGCATCTTTTTTAGATATCCCAGAAGAATTGTTAGTTCATCTGCATGTGATTTCCAGTTATTTCTTGTATATGCTCAATAACATCCCAAAAGCTTTTATTTTTCTCGCACATCCAGCAAATACAAGGATAATCTATAACTTTCTAACACACACTTCCAACACGTTCCACTAACTTCTTGATGTATCTTTGCTGCATCTCATAGATGTTATCTTTTATATTTACACGATATAGGATTTTGAAAGCCCCAGGACCTCTGCCTCAGGCATCATCTGAACCCAGTCTGGGGCCTGATCCTGAAGAGTCCCAGTCTGCACAGGTTCCCCTGCAACAAACACCAGCTGGGCCGAGTCAGGGGCCTGAGCCTGCCCTGGCTCCAGATGCAGGGATTACCTTGTTGCCTTCAGCTGGGACATCACTTACAGCTGCTCCACTACCGGTTTGGGTCAGGGGAGGCTGAGGTGGCTCCTGGGTCTAGTAACTCACCGACGTCTCACAAGCTGCGGAGACTAAGGTCTGAGAGAAGGAGAGACCTGAGTACTCGCAGGAGGAGTCCTCGCCTTCAGGTGAAACAGGGAGGTGAGTGGCCGGGGGATCAGGACCGGCCACTACCCCGACAAAGATAAAAGGCTGTCGGACCCCGCCCCAGGTTGCGGGAGCAACATTGCTGTATGCTAGATCATGCCTGAGATCCTGTACCTGTCCTTGCCTGGTTTCCTGCCCCATGTCCTGCATTGGCCCTGTCAGACTGACTCCTAGCGGAACTTTCGGATTCTGGACCCGTCCTGGACCACGTTTCACGGGTTACTCCTGGGCCCAGCACATATATAGTCCCAAATATATAGTCCCAAATATTAAATAACAGCATAAGAACAGCTTAAAACGAAATACAGAACTGTTATAAATAAAAGCAGTAACAGAAATTAAAATGCTCAGTGCTCCTCACCCCCCTGTTTGCCACCGAGAAGTCTTCTCACCCTTTGGGTTGACTGGAGATGAGTCAGCCACAGAGAACTGGCTGCTAGAGTCACTCTGGAGAAAGATGTAAAGGTAAAGGGACCCCTGACCATTAGGTCCAGTTGTGGACAACTCTGGGGTTGCAGCGCTCATCTCGCTTTATTGGCCAAGGGAGCCGGCATACAGCTTCCGGGTCATGTGGCCAGCATGACTAAGCCACTTCTGGCGAACCAGAGCAGCGCATGGAAACGCCATTTACCTTCCCACAAGAGCGGTACCTATTTATCTACTTGCACTTTGACGTGCTTTCGAACTGCTAGGTTGGCAGGAGCAGGGACCAAGCAACGGGAG